AGGACGACAGCATCCACCATCAAGATGGCTTTGGGTGAGCCTTTCCCAGCGCCAGCGCAGACACGGCTAGACCGTGGTTCTCGGGGCCCGTCAGGTGCAAGTTGCAACTGCAAGCACTATTTCTTGCGTACGCATACTGCGTAGCGTACATACTGCGCACTGCGTGCAGCATGTACATTATGCAGGGCGGGCCACATGGCTAATGACCGGGGCCAGACTTTGTGCCTCCGCCCGTCATGTGGGACCGTGGAACCAGGAAAAACCCCCCTTCCTGTGCAAGGCAAAGTAAACGACCAGTTCCATTCCTCTCATCAGAGAGCTGCCGAGGGACGTGTTGTTGATGTGACGACTTGGGGTCCGAGTGCCTGTCGACGGTGACCTACAGCGCTCGCGTTGGCGGTTGATCGAGAACGAGTGCCACCTGCCCTACATTCGTCAGATTACGGATATGAGAATAGCAACACGATGGACGTCGAGGTCCAGGGGCAAATACGACAGCAACAACGATATGTGTGTGGGGGTCAGGTTGCGCTGATGGCAGCGTCTGTTCACCGCAGCGTCTGTCCCATCTGCCGAGCGTCTCTCTTACCTTGAGCCTCGGGTCGTCAATGGCCAGTGATCATTGGGGAAAGGGTGGTTAATACCAGACATGTTAAGGGGCAACGGACAGCGCAGGCGATCATGATGCGGCGTAGAGTCGCATTGAGCAATGTCACGATGTTCAGGGGCACACCGCACCGTCCACCGCCGTCCACCGAAGAAGCCGCAGTGATCTTCGCTCCATCAACAACCCATCAACGATGCATATCAGCGAGGAGCACGAGGGACAGCCGCTTGGCAAAGCAGCGGCACGCTCTGTTTCGCAAGGTGGCGGCGCAAATCAGAGAGGCGGGCTCGGATTTTCGCAGCGCATTGGTGTGAGACTTTGAGGTCAGGAAGGCGTTAATAAGCAAATAGGAGGCGAGAGAGTCTCAAACCAAGAAAAAGAAAGAGCGAGGTACTCCACCAGAAGCCGTCTTTTGACGTGCTAACCCGGGGCCACTTAGCGGCGCCTCTTTTTGGTTAGTGGGTCCCTTTGATCCGCTGCTGCCAGTCCCCACTTCCTACGATTAGCGATTGCTCGACATTCTTCCAGGGCCATTGGCCCGGTAATTGCGCACCTGGGAAGCATGGGTGCTGCTCCTCACTGGATGGGAAATCTTTCCACGAGCTGTCTGGGTTCCCATTGCTGATGGAACACATGCCCTCTTTTGGTCTGTGCTGCATGTCCTGACTGTGCCTACCCTTTCATCTGAAACGGTGTCACCAAAGATGACGGGAGGCTTTCGATTGACCAAACAGGGTCATTCCAGGGTAAGAAGGGGCCACAGCTCTTCAAGTCTTCTTGAGAAGCATCATCACCGCATCGTCAACGGAGCGGCTGTCGTCTCAAATACGTCACGCAGTGACCGTATGGTGTTAGCGGAGAGAAGGATGGCCCAAGACGGCCCAGGAAGACGAGCGAAGAAATGCGCTTCAGCTGCTGCTCCCGAAGATTGCCGGACGGGCTGTTCGATGCAATTAATCGCGACCGTCACATCCTGGTCTGTTAGCACGAACCCCCATGTCCCCATGTTTGACTGCCCCCCTTGGCCCTGTCCCAGTTCCCAAGTCTTCAGTCAGTCCTGCATGTATCTTTTTTTCTCTTGCCCAGTCCTCTTGTCCCGACTTGGCGCAAGCTGCACTACATGCTCAAGGTGGGGCGGCCTGTATTAATCTCGCTCCAGACCTACCCTTCGACTTTGCGCGGGCGCCTCTTATTACCAGGCCGCTGCCCTTCCTCGGTCCATTTAATTGGAATTCTCCCCGGTTCCCTTTTGCCCAGGTATCCTGTTCGAAGCGGTGTCGGCGCGCATACTACCTACCGGTAGCGTGGTTGGATCTTGAGGCGCGGTCTGCGAGGGCGATTTATCTTTTTGTTCTCGCCCATCGCACTCACCCCTCACCACTCGCCTTTCAAGGGGAGAAAAAAAGGGCGCCCGTCCTTTTTCGTTGCTACCATCCTTTCACAATGCACGCCTTTAATACCTAATAATACCTTCGATTCGCACTAGGAGCACTCGAGCCTAGTCTGGCTTGTTACTTTCTCTCCTCGCCCGCCGCAACGACTGCCCGCACCGACCATGGAGGGATTACTCACGGTGCCCCCCGATCGGGGCACTATCATTGGGAGGGCGATATGGAAGGTTCGAAGCCCGCGTAGAGTTGTTGAAGGGATATCCAGTTGCTGATCTGCCGGTAGCCTCGCTATGTGGTTGTGGGAAGCGCGCAAAGGGATTCGCAGATACAGCAAGCATCGAACAGTCGCATTCAGACAAGCCGCGGTTCAACACCCAAGGGGCAGGTGAGGACCGCTCAAGAGGGGATCTACCTCTCCATTTACAAGTCCAAAGTAAGCGCGTATGGCCGTCTGGTGCTCAATGCCCATATTTAATCAAAGCATTGCGTTTATTTAGCTAACCTCGAGCGCAACAGGACGACTCGGAGCCGATACAGCAACATGCGATTGCTACAGTCACCGATTGCCAGGTCCAGATGCTCGCGCACCGCAAGCAGGGTCCTGTGCTACCGACTCTTGTCATCAACATAGTCCCAGACCCAGTGACGGACAAGCTTCGAAAGCGACGCTCGAGTAGGACGGCTGGCCTGACGGCTACCAAAGAAACAGCGCCAACCACGCTGTACTTCCGCCCAGGGGATGAGGGCCATGCCCTCCTGGACTGGGCGCGCCTCATCCAACAACTTATTCCACCTAACTTGCCAGATAGGGCTCCCCTAAGTCCAACGACCCCCGCGTCGCCGACCTTCATCAACCCCTTCGCGCCACGTCCGAGAGAGCCGAGTGATATGCACAGACCGGGAAGCGGGAATTCAAGACCGCCCTTCTACTCCAAGAGCTCTAACCAAGGACACTCGAGCCGCGAGCGCGATCGACCAGTGACATACTCGGAGACCCACAGCTTACGCTCAAAGCCGAGCGACCTCTCGTCTCACACAAGTTCAATGAACCCGTCTCACATGGGGTTCCACAATTATACCACAATGCATCCCACCGATCTCCCGTCTCCAGCCACGACGATCGGGGACTATCATGGTGAGTTTATTGAGGGTTGGACCTCCGCGCAGGGGAGGTCGTCTACTCTCAGCTCGCCCATTAGAACTCGCGATAGCATTGGATCGCAAATCCCCCCACTCCAGCAGCCAATGGATTCCAGCTCGCCGCCGGGTCCACGGGAAACAATTCTTGACCGGGCCTTCCAGCTGCGCTACATCCCAGGCTCCGAGCGTGAGACACCGGGCGAGGAAAAGCTGAGCTCCCTGGCTCGCTTTGACGCCCTGATGCGAGAAGCGGACGAAAAGAGGAGGAACCGTGAAGCGGAAGAAGCCCGGTTAAAGGGACAGGCCGCGACGCCAGCCACAACACCATTGACGGCAGAGCACTCCGGGTTGAAAAGTGCGTGGGATATGGATGATTCTGACTCGGACGACGAGCCAGACTACGAGGAGGGAGGTAACGATAGCGATGGGCCCGTTGGCGAATTGAATCAAAACCTTGAGAATCGCTTTCCGACGCCCCCGACTCCTCAGATCCCTCCACCGGCTCAGCGAGCGCTAGAGTTCATTGCAGGAAGGCATGAGCCACCGGCGCACCGGCCACAGCAGCCCTCGCGATCCAATGGTGCAAGGTCTCCGCTGAGTTATAACCACGAGGCATTGATGGTCTTATCAAACAGTGGGTCTTCTCATCTGCAGCCGCAAACGGGCTGCTCCAAGAATCAAAGTAGGCCAGGAATAGCTCAGAGAACACATAGTCAACCACAGCTGGCGGGAGTGAAAACGTCCTCCTCGACCCCCCCACAACTCAGCACCCCCGTCCCACAGCCGCCCACATGCCGAGATGTTCCAGCTCCTCCAGCCAACAAACCGTCGTCCGAAGACGCAGCCCTCGGTTCGGGGACGGCATCGGCCGCCGCTCGCAGCACGGCAGATAAGCGACTTTCGGCGTCCAGCTCTAAGCGTTTGAGCTTCACGGAATTCACGAAACGTCTCAGCAGCACCAGCAGTTTGCTTCTAGTCCCTAGCGGCGGCAGCAGTCGAGGGAGCAACAGCGATGTAGATTCGCAGCAGACAACGCAAAACCAACAGCAATACTCGCATCACCTGCACCCCCGAGCACCTCTGCAGGTACCGCAGCCGGCAAACCAGCAGCAACCACCAGCACCGCTGAGCGAGCGATGCGGTTGGCGAGGCAGTGTCGGTGTGTTCGGTGCGGATGGCGGCTTTCTCTGAATGTGTACGACATGCATTGCGACGACCAACCCAAGTGTGCGGTTCTCGCCGCTCAACGCCTTTCCATATTACTACTTGTGGAAGAAGGCACGATTCAACGGTATCCCGATTTCGATGCGTAACGACTCTCCGGGACAATGTCTCCCGTGATTATTTTGGAGCACGGGGGAATTTTCACTTCTGATGAAATATTTTAATACCTATTATTTTTTGGGGGGCATTTTCGTTACTATGCATTCTAAACTGACCGACCGACCCTTCTTGTTACGACCAGTCATGATCGACAATTACGCACAAATGGGAAGGGAAGGAGCATATGGCGTTCATAATTACCTCACTTCTCTCAAACAAGGGAAGACTAGTGGGAGCGAAGCATCAAGACTTCTGTCTGTGTCTGTAAATCAATACAACATTTTGGAAATTTCTGGTGTCCAGCACGGGCTGTTCGATTTCTCATAGGGTTTTCCGAGAACGCGCGTCATAAATGAGGGAAAGACGGTAGGGAGAGGGACTGGGATCAGAATTCAATGACACCTGTATATTGCGCAGGCGAAGACATGCATATATAAACCTCAAGGGAAATCGACGCATCCAGTTCCTTGTTTCGGAGTGAGTGGAAATCCAATCTTGGGCGAAGAGAAAAAAGCACCAACTCCCAGTTCAGCTGTTTATCGGATATGGTGTTACGGTAACATTTCTGACTCTCAAGATCTTAAGATCGAGCACTCAGGGGATCCGGGTTCGATTCCCCGTATCCGAGAATGTCGACAGTTGATACTATTTGTTTCTTTTTTATGTCAAAACTTTCCCCTTCCATGTCTTATCAATTACCTTACCTTGCTTATTGGCTAGTTATCAATGAAGAAGGGGCTGCCTATGTCATAAATATTTATTTGTCACGCATATTATCTCAACTCGTTGAGATGTGGGATGGGCGTGAATGTAGGAGACAGCTGTTGATATTCGCCATTAGACGCTAAGGCGAGGGGTTGATTAAGTACACAGCAACCTAGAATGTAGCTTGGTGTTTCCGGGCGGAGACGAGAATTATAAAGGAACGACAGCTTGCGACTCTCATATGATTTACCCAGTGGGGGGCTTCGTCAAGGTGTTTTCGCAGTCATCTCATAGCACGAGCATCTGATGCTTGCCTGGGTAAAGCTCGGGGACATGAGGCAGCGATTGCCAAACAGTGAAATGACAGGCTGGGGATGCAATTAATCCCGAGTAATTCATTTGTGTGAATGGAGTATACTACAAGTCACAACGCCTTCATTTGAGACCTTCAAACCAACATGGCTCTCAGACGTCTTACATGATGCTCGAGAATCGGCGGTTTGGTCTATATCTACATGCTCGCAACAAAACCGGAGGAAATGTCGAGAGCACGAGAGCACTCGCTTTTATCGGGACGGAAATATACAATGTAAAACAAAGCTTTTTGGCCGAAACAAGGTTCGCACGGGTGTTTGATCGGGAAACCGCAGCAGGCAACGAACTGAGCCTGGGCGAAGTACGTCTGAGCCAGGCGCTGTGGGTCATGGAATCCTGCAGCGTCATCACCACAGTACAGGTGGAGGGAGGGTGGTTGGAGGCTGGAGGGCAACAATCGAGCGCTGGAGAGTGAGACCAATTGGGCTTCCAGGGGCGACGCACAGGGGCCGCCCACGGTTGGGCGCAGCTGCACATTGGTGGTGCCAGCTCAGAATGACGGGAAGCCGCGGGGCGACTGAGCAGCTGGCAATCAGGTCCAGGTTGCGTTTCCAGGTTGCAGTTGTCATCCCCAAACGGCACAGTAACCACCAACCTGTACCCGAAAGCAGATCTCCGCAAGCCGCCTCACCTGCCACAGGAAACCTTCCGCAAACCTAAGCAACAGAGGCAGAGCTCCCCACGCCTCCGACACATCTCGCACGAAGCCACGTCCCTTGTTTGATTGTCGAGCAGTCTCGTGGAGAGCTCCCCCACGCCATCGAGTGCCATTTCAATCGAGTGGCGGCCTCTTTCTAATCGCATCGTGGAATGCCAGAGCGCGCCCTGTTCCAGATTGAGTACCGCATCGGCATCGAACTTGACCATCAGCTACCAAGATTAGCCACCTTTCGTCCTATGACCGTCCGGCCACCTGCGGATGACGGCACCTTGTTGGCCCGTAGTCAAACCCTTCGCCAGATGCCCGCTAGCTCCTACCTGAGCGGCGACGAAGCGTTAGCACTCAACCTCCTCCCTCAAGCCCGTCGCGACGATCCCCTGTTTTCCCACCTCACCACCCTTCAATCCCTCTAAAAGCCTCTGCGGGAACGGAAATCGGCCCCGCGGCCCAAAGTCTATCGCCGTGGCAGACCAAACTCCCAACGAAGGTCCCATACATACCCCATCCACCTCCGACGGCCCATTCATCCCGCAACCCCCCCTATCCACCTCCAACACGGTCCTCTCAGCCCAAATCCCGCCCCAGCCGCTCCAGTCGGCCGCGCGGCAGCCCCCGCAACAGCAGCGTCCAAACAGCCATACGGCGACGGCACTCGCACCCCCCCAGCCCGCGCGACGGAGCGCCAACCCGGCGCGACGTACTCCCCAAACCATAGGACGAAGACGGCGGAGTAGGTCTGAGGAAGGCGCCGAGGGCGGAGGAGCGGAAGCCGGTACATCAGCAGCCTCGTCTGCGGCGGACACAGCATCGCGACGGAACCCTAAGCGGAGACGCGGCGGAAGCATGCTGGCCGAGGTTGATGATCAAGAGGCCTCAAACGGCGCGTTCCGGGGTGTATCTAACGGATCAAGGGCTGGGGAGGAGGGATCAACATCAGGTAGGACACATAAGGTCCCACCCGAGTCGATGAACGGTTCGACGCATAATGGCAAGAGTGCCGCTCATGCAGTAGACGCCCCATCGCCGACATATCTCGGCCACGACCGTGAGGAGGTCACCCGCATATTGATACAAGCCCTGTCGGACATGGGATATCACTCGGCGGCCGAGAGCGTCAGCAGGGATAGCGGCTATGAGCTGGAAAGTCCAACTGTGGCTGCTTTCCGGACAGCGGTCTTGGACGGTTCGTGGGCTAGAGCAGAAGAGCTGCTCGCAGGTGCAGTCTTCTCAACGGAACGCCGTTCGGGAAATGGCCTGGTGCTCGCTCCTGGGGCAGACGCCAACACAATGAAGGTGTGGATTCGGCAACAAAAGTTCTTGGAGTTGTTGGAGAGGAGAGAGACTGCCCGGGCATTAATAATATTGCGGACGGAGTTGACGCCGCTGTGTTCGGAACAGCACCAGAAACTACACGCCCTCTCCAGCCTTCTGATGTGCCAGTCGGCCGAGGACCTTAAGGCGAAGGCGGATTGGGATGGCGCGTTTGGCCAGTCCCGACATGTTTTGTTATCAGAATTGTCAAGTTTGTGCCCCGCCTGGTTTTTGTCTTGAGATATAGAAGCTAATACCAGACGCAGGACGCATATCTCCTTCGGTCATGCTCCCGGAACATCGGTTAGCAGTACTATTAGAACAGGTCAAGGAGAGTCAAATCGGCAACTGCCTTTACCACACCAGCTCTCAACCTCCCTCGCTCTATTCGGACCATGTCTGCGATAAGAGCCAGTTTCCCACCGAAGTCGTGTTCGAGCTAGACAAGCATTCCGGCGAAGTGTGGCAAATCAGCTTCTCTCATGACGGGACCCGTCTCGCAAGCTGCGGAATCGATCAGTACGTCATGATCTGGGACGTGTCGACGTTTGAGATAATACACAAGATCCAAGCGCACGAAGCCGGCGAGGTTTGCAATCTTGCGTGGAGTCCGGACGACACAATGATCATATCGTGCGGGAGAGACCGCTTTGCCAAGATATGGAATACTGAGGTATGTTTCCCTGAGTGGTTGCGAATAGGTCAAGGACAAGCAAGTACTGACGCCGCGTAGACCGGGTCACTGGTCAAGACGCTGGAACGATTTAACGAGCCCGTCAGCAGCTGCGTCTGGGCAGCTGATTGCCGGACGTTTATCACGGGTTCTTTCGACAAGGACAAATCGCTTTGCCAGTGGAATCTGGACGGCGATCGGCTTTATACGTGGACCAAGAAGCACCGGACCGAAGATTTGGCTGTATCGCCCGACGGCCACTGGCTGGTCGCTATGGATGAGCGCAACTGGCTGCACGTTTACAATTTTGTCACGCGAGAGCTCGAGTACGAGTGGGATCTGAAGACTCGGCCGACGTCTGTCAGCATCAGCCAAGATTCACGGTTTTTGCTTGTCAACAAAGTAGACGGTGAAGCACAGCTCATCGACATTGCGACGCGCGATGCCATACAAAAATATCAGGGCCATAGCGGCGGCGAGTACACGATCCGAAGTGCTTTCGGGGGCGCCAATGAGAGTTTCGTCATTAGTGGGAGTGAAGGCATGTCACTACTTATCTTCGCTTTTGGTACGATATGTTTACTAACAGTTGTGTAGATGGTCATGTTTCCATTTGGCACAAATCGACTGGTATCCCAATCGAAAAGTTGGATGCCCACCATCCGCGTTGCAACTCGGTTTGCTGGAATCCAGCGGATCCATGCATGTTTGCCTCGTGTGGGGATGACGGAAAGATCAAAATGTAAGTCGCCACGACGATTTTTCTTGCGCCAGATGCTAACAAAAGCCCCCAATAGTTGGTCAAACAAGGAGCGCGTGCGAAGTCTCGCCTACACACAACTGCATTCTAACGGAACGACGAGTCGCAGCCCAACTAACGGTTGGGCAACTTCGGGGGAACAACTGGCCGAGTGAGACAGAGCATGCGCGACAAGAGACTGGGAAAGCGTAGAGAGAGCGACAGAAAGCGCAGTGTTGTTGCTTTACTGTTAAGCATGCCCCGGAATATTTTTTAAATTTTTCTTGTCAATGTCAACTGTTCTCGGATTGAAGATCATTCCCAACAACACGCACCCGACGACACAAACACACACACACGAACCGCATAGCATGGGAACCGGCGCGAATTTGGAGATCAACGGATGGTGGGAAGGCGGGGGGGGTTTACCAGAATCAGAATCTGATTCAGCGAGCCTAGGGATAGGGCATATTACAAATGTTTATTGCTATGGTTTATGTTTTTTCGTTGTTGCTTGTGGCTTTGTCGCCTTTCCCGACAGCCAGCCCTTTCCGGTCATAGAAACTTGAATGAGTCAGTGCAAATGACCAACCATCCCTTTCCCAGATATCCCTTTTTGTCTTTTTTTGCCTCTTCATGTGTGGGATGCTGATGTAGCTACGGGGTGTCGAGTGACAATTAAAGGAAAGAAAACTGTCGACGTTGGGTTTTCTTCACGGAGGCCTCGTTTTCTAGTGTTGATGAACACAAGTGTGATGAGCTTGTGTACGCTCTAGATGTTGAGGCTGCCGCGTGGATTTGACTGAGACGCGTAAACGTAGATTACGAGGAAGGGGACGTGGACGACTAGGCATCAGAATAAAAGGAGCTAATTCCCACTCTGCCACGCGGGTAATAAATAATGGGGGGTCTGTACGGAAATAGGGGCGTATCTTGAAGCAATTGTCAAGTTGATCCCATGCCGCTTTCCACTTTTGAAGTAGACTTGGATTTATTTGCCCTGTCAAGATGTGTCTGGGTTTGGCCTGTCGTGGAGACTGGGGACGCGTCAAAGATTGGGCCCCAGCACCACGGCAATCACGTGCCGCTAGCAAGGCTGTGTTGATGCACGGACTGGGGGCTGCGACGCTACGTAAGTCAACCCTTCCGCCGACCGGTCGTCTG